GAAATAGTGGTAAACTGTGTGTTTTGTGTTGCTGCAAGTAGGATATGATGGGAGTTTGAGGTTGGGAGATGAGGGTGTGTATAACAGGGAGGTGCTATGGCTGGGCATGTGTGGTTAGTCGGGGTAGATGCCTGCAAGATATGAGAGGGCTAGGGTGGGGGAAGTGGCTTGGGCAGCAGCAGGGCAACGTTCAGTGTTCACAATGAAGCCTTTTCTTTCTCCTTGCCCCCTAGATCTCCTACCCCCCAAGTGATGAGGACAGCGATGACTCTGAGGGAGAGAACCAGGAACTTGCTCAGATCGACAGAGGTAAAGGGACTAGCCAGGAGGGTCCTGGGATGCTACAACTGAAGTCTGTTTTGCTTTTCACTTGTGCTCTTGGAAGTTCCTCCTTCTCTGTCCCCAGTGTACCACAGCCAGATGCATTAATTCAGTTACCTTGAAGTCTTTGGGACCTCACAGGGAGAAGCTGGTGTTATCAGATGCTGCAGTTGCACTTTTCTTACCAGAGATAGACATTGTTAACCACATGCTAAGGTCACAGCGCTGCAGACATGAGGCAGAAAAAGTCTACAATTGCACCAGTAGCAGAGCTGGGACTAAAAATTTATCTTCTATTCCATGCTTGTGCACCTATGCCATCTTTGGTTTTGGTTTCCTCTTCCTTGTCACTTCTAGTTTTGACATTGCCTTTCCTTATTCTCCTGGGCTCACTTGTCTGATTAGCTTGCTTCCTTCCTCCTGTACTGTTGTTATTGGGTAGCCTTATTCTTGAGTCTAGCTGAAGACCTTTCATAGAGGAGACAGAGGTGTTCTGCTATTGTTTTTGGACCTAGTATAATGCAGCTTAGAGCTGCAGGTGAAATCTGCAGTAAATGCATTTCTTGAGCTATGCTAAGTCTCTGTCATTTGTGCATGCCCTGTGTTTTATTGCAATTTAGCCAAATTCAAGTGGATTCTTATGCAAAGGCAGAAGTTAAATTCCTGACCCACAGGACATGTTCTGTTGAAATTCAAATCCCTGTTCCACATGCTTAACATGGAAAGAGCTCGGCAGAACAGGTAAATCATACCCAGCTTATGGCTGAAGGCAGGCTTTCTTATATGGCAAGCCTTGTAATAGAAAGAGGACCTTTACCTCCAGAAACCAGATCTCTGTTATTTGAGCCACAGATGTGCTGCTTAGAATAGTGTAACTAATTTACCTTCTCTGCCCTGAGAGCTGGTTACTAGGATTTAATGTTTCTAGTTAGAGGTAAGTGCCTAACAACACATCTGCAAGATCATGTCTTCTCCACCTTTAGAGGGTGAGGTGGGTGGCAGGTCCATGTTCTCGCTCGGCAAGTGGACTTCCAGGTGACAGTTTGCAAGGGGATGTGTAGCAGTCTGGTCTAAACAAAGTTCTGGAAACTTCTGAAGGGAAGTATTAAGCTGGGTGGGGGAGGTGTGTGTGTTTCTTCTTGGGGGGGGGGAAGGCTGAAAAGAGCTCAGAAGTTTACTTGGGAGGGGGTTAAAAAAAAAAACAAACAAAAAAAAAACCAGCTCAGGAGAAAGCAGGCCCAGTTTATTAGGGTGTTAGATGCCAATCTGCTCTGCCACTCCTCTATCTTGTCCTCCCACTAGAGAGAAGACGGAATTGTACCTTGACCCCTCTGGCCACTAACCAGCTCCAGAACCAGGAGAACCAATGCTGCAAGGTTCGGGCCCTCTTCCATGCCAGCCTTGACCGCCACAGCTCAGAAGAAGAGCTGGAGCGCATCAACCGAGAGTTCGCCGCTGAGAAGCGAAAGTGGTCCCAGGTTAGCAGGCTTGCCTGCTGCAACGACAGCAACAACACCTCCTCCAGTGACGAAGAAGTGAAGAACTTGTGTGCTATGTCCTTCCAGCCTGTGACAGAGCAGGCTGATGGCCTGCACGCCAGTTCAAGCCCCGTGCTGTTCAGTGCCTCCCCTCCCAAGAGACTCCAGCCCCTGGTGCGGAGCCCAGCCTCCAGACCTTTAATCTTCACAAGCGTTGGGGCGGGCCTCGAGCAAGTCATGCCTTGTAAGAGACATCGGCAAGGATATGGGGATAAGGTCAGCAGGCCCAGCCTTGACCTGGAAAAAATGCAGCAGGTAAGGGAGAACTTCATATGAGGAAAGCAACATCACATGAGAGGAGGTGTTGTAAGCAAAGATGGAAAAGAGTTATTGAGGCAGTGTTCAGTAAATTCATAGGGTTGCTTCTTGTGATCATGTCTGCAGAGGCATAACTGGTACTTCTGCTGTCTGTCTACGATAAACTAGGCCTAAGTATAAATACTTCCTCTGAGCAGTAAAGCTCTTGCTACTTGAGTGGCTCTTGATCCAGTTGGGCTGTTGTCTTGCTAACCCCATTAGGAAGGCAGCACCCATACTGTCCGGTTATTGCATGACACAGGAACAAAATCACTGGAGTTCATTTTTGTCAAGTTACCTCTGCTGCCATGAGCTGACCCATACCATTTACTTAAAAGTTAGTTAATTGTGTGTGAAGAATACCTTTGATGAAAGTGGTTATAGACTTGATAAGTATTTCCACACCTGTTGACCTCCTTGAGCCTAGGTCTCTTTATGCCTCCTAGGAGTTGTACAACAGTGCAAAACTGCTTTTTACCTTCTTAACACTTTACAAACTGTTTACAGTTTGCTCTACATACAGTTACTCTTGATTTTGCAGGACTTTTTTAGGGGCCTGGGATTGAGATGCAGAAATGCTGGGAGTTTGCCTCATCTCCGCAGAGGCTGGGAATGGGGCACGCCTGGTACTGGTGGGCTGGGCTGCCCAGCACAGTACCCATCTGGTGCCTCTGTTTCAGAAGGCATTGCTGTAGAGTTAGTATTTCAGCTCACTCTTCATTATTTGTTTTTCTTCTTGCACTGGTGTAGTGTCAGTTTGAAAGAGCATCTACAGACATCTGCTGACTGTGGTAAATTGCAGTAAGTTAAAGACAGTTATTTTCATTTCTGAATTTCCTCTCATTAGGGAGGAATTTCAACTGCCTCTGGTTGGATGTACTAGTTTTAACCTCACTAACACCACCCCTTTTAAGCCTATGAGATGGACCCACTAAAAGAAAGGACTATATATTTTATTTTCTAAGATCTAGAAAAGCAAGACCCCTCCATTTCTCCATTACATTGCTGCTTGTTCTCAGTCCTGCTGGCAGCATGCATCCCATGAATACATAATGCAGACTTGTGGCTTCAGTACAGTTTTCCTCACCTCCTCTTTGCCCTTCTAGCCAAGTTTCTGCTCACAGAACATTCAAAAGGCCCAGTCTTGCATTTCACATCACCCAAATCTTCTACTGATACTGACAGATTTTAATTAGTTTTACATCCTAATGAGAAGAGAAGAAAGCTGGTAAGCCTATGCTCAGTCTTATTTTTTTCAGAGTGCATGTGAGTAAATGGAGAAATGTTCTTTTTGGCCCAGGTGCTTTCTCTGATTTGGATCATAGGCATAGAATCTGTCCACTCTGCATTAAGTTCCTTTCAGCAGTGTGTCTGGGAGTGTGTTGGTGAAGGTTAGGGGCTAATTTAAATAAGCTTTCCAAACTGTTGTGGTTTTTCTGGGAAACTTTGAGAACGATTTGCTTCCTGGTCCATCTGCTCTCTACACTTCTGGATTAGTTGTGGAAAAGATTTTTTGCAAAAGAAATCGAAATCTGGAGTGGAGGGAGTTGTTTTTAAAAAAAAAACACCACCTAAACATTTCTACTGTAGATGTTATTAACACTTCCAGGCTGTGAAATCCCTGTTATAAAGAAAGGATATTCAACTAGTGGTTTTAAATTAAAAATGTACTTTGGGGGGGAGGGGGGGAAGGAGGAGGAACATGCAAAGTGAGATGCAGCCTGAATATTGTAACAGTTTGGTCATTTGTATTATTTTTATCATTTTAGCTGGTTCACGTTCAATCAGTAACATCTTGAAGCTTTGAGGAGTTCTTGCTTGCTATCTGTAGTTGTTTCTGCTACAAAAATTGTAATAGAAATAACAATGTTGTAGATAGTCTTCTTCTGACACTTGGATTCCCATAAGCTTAGCTAAAAATCAGTGATCTCGCTTCTTATGACAGTGATCCAAAATTTGGGTTTCATTTTGAGTTCTGCCACAAATCCTTGTATGAAGCTGGGCAGGTCTCGTTCAGTACCTCCATTCCTCACCTGTAAAATGGGACGAGGGTGTTTCTTGGTCTGTATTCATTCTCCAACAAAAATGCCTCTTATTAACCTCCTGGGCAGGACTTGGCATCATGTATTTTTTTTTTTTTTAGTCAGGTAAACAGTGCAAATGAGGAATGATAATATTAAACTGGCTACTCTAAGGCTTCATCTGGGCTCTGAACATGAAGGTATTCTTGCTTTGCAAGTCTTATCCTTACTATTATGTGCTTGCCCATAAGAATACAGCTGAAAAGCTTGATCACATGCAAATGTTTTTGAGCAGCAGATGTAGTTTTCACTTTTGTCATAGAATTATAGAATGGTTTGGGTTGGAAGGGACCTTAAAGATCACCTAGTTCCAACCCCCCTGGCATGGG